CACCGCCCACCCCAGCTGAGGAGGGAGTGACCACCTCAGGCTCTCCCTGCCCCCCCCTTTTGAGCCGGGTCCCCCCAAAAACCAAGCTGAGGAACATCCCCCCCACACTTTCTCCCCCCTTTTCCTCCCCCTTCCCCTCCTCTCCCTCCCCTTTGCCTGATTTATTCATGCCATAAGCCGGTGTTTTTGCGCTGGGCCATTTAGCATTTCATGGGTAATTCATAATTATTAATTATGAAAATCAAGAGCAAACTCATCGCTCTCCAAGCGCCTTCTGCATCGAGCCGGGGGAAGATAAATGACCCGTTCCCTGTAACAAGCCAGGGACGATACTTTTACTTTACACGCGGCGGTTTTAACTTCGTGTTTCACATCAGAAAAGGGGATTTATTGGCCGCGGCGGCCGCTAAACACCCGCTCTCCAGCCTCGGAATAAATTAACCCACGGCGGTGTAAAATTCCCCCTTAACTGAGTAAATCCCTGAGTTATGGCAGAGAAAAAAAAAGAGGATTTTCTTCAGCCCAGCTCCAACCTGGCGTCGGGAGCCTGCGGCAACCCTGGCTCATTGATGAGCCCCACAGTGGGATAACGAGCCCTTTGGAAGATGCCAACGGACGGCATCGTAGGATCCAGGATCCCAGGATCCTGGGAGCACCAAAAGCTTCATTTTTTCCCCTCCTTCCCCCAAAAAAAGAAGCTATTGAAATAAAAGAGCCCAAAGCAAAGCCGGGTTGAGCATCCGCAGTCATTTCCCTTTAGCCAGGACCCTTCTGGCCGTGGCTGAGCAGCAGGCAGCCATAAATACTTTATTGAGGGCTTAATGCATAATTAATGGCAGGCAGCAGGCTGTGGCAGGGAGGCAGGGAGCAGGCAGGGCTCGGGGCCACCCATTTGGAGGTTGGCAAAGCTCCTCCGCCTGCCAGCTCGGGGTTTGGAGACAACAAGGAGACCCTGGAGGTGGGGAGGGGGGGTCCATCCTCAACCTTTTCCCCCCGGGGGATGCCCGAGCATCCGTGGGTCGGATGCTGGGAAGATCCCAGAATCTTCTAGGTTGGAAGGGACCTTCAAGATCATCTTGTCCAACCATCAACCCGACTGACAAAAATAGACACCCACACAACAAACAAGGAGCATCATCACTAAACCAGACCTCCCAGCACTACATCAACCCGGCTTTTGAACACCTCTAGGGATGGGGCCTCAACCACCTCCCTGGGCAGCCCATTCCAAGGGCTGAGAACCCTTTCAGTGAAAAAATGTTTCCTAATATCCAGCCTGAACCTCCCCTGGCGCAACTTGAGGCCATTTCCTCTCGTCCTGTCTCCTGGGACTTGAGAAAAGAGCCCGACCCCCACCTCTCTACACCCTCCTTTCAGGGAGTTGGAGAGAGCAAGAAGGTCTCCCCTCAGCCTCCTCTTCTCCAGGCTGAACACCCCCAGCTCCCTCAGCCTCTCCTCATCAGACTTATTCTCCAGACCCCTCACCAGCTTTGTCGCCCTTCTCTGGACCCGCTCCAGCACCTCAATGTCTTTTTTGTGGGAAGGGCCCCAAAACTGGATGCAGGCCTCGAGGTGAGGCCTCACCAGTGCCACAGGCCTCGAGGCGAGGCCTCACCAGTGCCCAGTACAAGGCCAAAAACCCTTGTGTGGCTCGCAGCATCCCTGTGGATAAAGCAAACCTTCTCCCCCCCAACCCGGGGGGGGGGACAGGGAGGTGGGGGGCAGCTCTGGCCACGCTTGCCCACTGCAGCTCGGGGGCCTGGCGACGCCGGCTGCTTCTGCTGCCGCCAGGATAATTAGGTTAAATGCAGGCTGTGCAATCTGTCACCGGGTTATTAATTAGAGCTCCCCGGGAAAGCTGCCTCGCTCGCAGGAGGGAGAGGAGAAACTGCTGACACCCTTGGCAGCGGTGCCCGGAGGTTGTGGGGTGGGGGGGTG